TCGTGATCTTCTATTGCACAATAATTCCTAATGGTGTCGATTTGTGATTACGTAAACTTTGAGAAACATTTCATAATCGAAAATATGTAGTTGTTCGATTATCGATTACGTAATTTTTCGACTCTAGATTATTCGACACATAAATTAATATGATCAGCTGATTGTTGTGGCACAAGTTTCACGTCTGTACACAGTTGATAGCAGGGAATCTTTCGAGAAATCAAAAGCTTCTGGGCTTTGTTTATTTTTAAATTGGACATAAGTACCTGCCTTTCTAGCACTTTTAAGTTATGTAATGCGGGTAGACTTAACTGAATTGATAAAAAGTTATATATTTTAAGTTATTCATACATACGAGATGCAGTTATACGAGTGAGAGCTAAATTAAATGGTTTTTGGTCTTCAATCAAACACTTTAATTTTAATAATGAACATAACTGATTAATTTGAACAAGGTTTCATAAATGAACTTTTCAGTGTGTAAAAGTTAATTAATTCTAGTATTATTATCAGTAGTGTTTCAATTGTCCACAATAACTTCATTGAATAAAATATTACATTAGGAACTTCACAAACACATTTAATGACAATAGCAGTTACCCACGGGCTTCACCCAGTTTGACTTCATAAGTATTAATAAAACTAAGATTGAGTTAAGCTGAAATAAACAAAACAGAATACAGTAATACAGACGATAATCACACCTGATTTTATTAAGGTAATAAATTGAAAGAATAACATACAAATAAGTACAGCTTAGGTATTTTTAACATTGGGTGTATGGAAAGTTCCCTTTAGAAAGGAATTACGACCCTAAAGAGCAATTAATGAAATAATGGATAGTAGTTTTTACGCAAGGTTTCTCGTCATGACGAACATTTTAAGCATATGGTTTATGGGGTGTGACTTCTAGTTTTCTTAAAAGTTCATGGGTACTTTGGGCATTAAAAAAATGGATATGGATTGTGTTTTCGATAAGAGGTATATATGAAATGCCGAAACGAAATCTTAAGATCAATTTTATAACTAACAACCCTGCAGAATCTTCAACGCTTGTAGTTTGGATTCAGTGAATCATGCTCTCATTTCTTCCACTGACGTTGTCACCAAAAAGCTCTGACGTTCCAATAATTGGCAACATCGATAACGAGGCCAGATCAAAGGACATTTCCATAGCTAAGGGCTGAGCTAATTATAATTAGATGGAACTTCGCTGGGGCAATCCCTGCCAATAGCAGTTTTTGTATCAATGCACAATGCTAAACATCCAGTTACAGGATTATGTTTTTTCTCAATACAGTACAACTATTTAAACTACTATACGAAACGTATTAAATCAAACACTAGTTACTAAATAAAAAGACACACTATTTAAACCCATTATAAGGGTTTTGACAAGCTAATTGAAAGAGAATTGATCTTAAGAGGATTGACAAGTTGATTGAAAATGTGTCAAGTTTGCTGTTACGTTTATTATCATCCTTTGCTTTTATCAGCCAATTAATATACGCCATAGAAAAAATATCAGTCATCCTTACAAAGAAACTACATATAAATTCATGTTTAAGTACGAATGGCAGAGATTGTTTTAAAGTTGACGCTGCGTGAGCGGGCATATGTACGATTGTATGACAGTTTGCAAAATGTAAATGAGACTCCAGTGAATAGCGGGGTTTTGAAAGGCACTCTTTATTACGAAAGTACTTACCAGGTACCAATTAATGAGTGACTATTTCTTTTGATTAAATTAAAATCTTTTGATTAATGCAGATGATTAAATTAAAAAGAATAGAAATTGAAGTCATCGTAAATGATGACTGTCATTCGTTTTAAAATAACGCCTGTAATATTTAGCAATTGCTCGAATTCGAGCAACAGGTACACTAGTAACTATATATTGTCTGACAATAGCCTAGAAAAACCTAGAAGAAAGCTCTACTTTAGAGTGGAGCACAATTTGATTTAGATATGACAAAATTATCAAAGCATAAAAAGGTTCCAAGTAACTACAGTCAACCACAAGGAAATTCAGAAAGTAGGTTTTTTAAAATTACTATTAGGTGAAATTGTAATTACGCTTATTTGTCGAGAGCGTGATAGAACACGATGTCTAAAAACAAAACAAATTAATGACCAATCAACATAAAAAGGACTTCACAATAGGAAATGTCATTAATTGAAATAATCGTTTTAATTGTTTTCCCAACCGCAAATCATTAGTTGAATCAAATGTGTCGTTCTTCATTGTTGGCGGAGACTAAACAACAAAACGAATCAACCATTGTGTAATATTTAGTTCAATTAGGTTTAATTGTAATTAATTGGATTGTAACAATTGTAATTTTATTCAGTTTTGCTTTTGAAGTAAACTAATAAATGGCGGAGATACAAAATGTATTGTATATGGATAACAAAATTGGTACGTGTTTTATATTTAAAGGTTAATTTCCCATTGATAAGATAAAAATTACATTTAAAACATACAAAATGCGTAAGCTAGATTTTAGAAGATAGATCTTTACCATAACCTCGTCTAATAGAAGGCCGCGGCGAGACAAAAGTGGCAAAACCGCTGTCTTGGCAAACCGAAACAGCTGTTGCATTAATTAAAAGCAATGTTTATGTGTACACTTTTGTTATTTCTATTATTGCCATGGAAATAGGCAAAACGTTGTGACGTTGCCACACACCAACGGGAGGCGATGGTACACCTAATTATTGCCACCATTTTTTTTTCTCAAAGGAATAAAATACAAAAATTCTAAACTACTGCCAAACTTGTGTGGTAAAATATTCATGTCTTTCAATCTATTCGATACTTTAAACGACGATCGAAGAACAATGCGTTTTAAGGTTTACATAAAACAATCATGGACTGTCATGGGATTCATGGATTGTTTCCATTTGCCAAGTTTCGAGGTATTTAAGACAGTTAAACCTCAAACCTCTAAAGATTTTTAGAGAGCTTTCTAAACGTACAAACAGGACTATTCAAGATATGTAAATGAACCCGACCAGTGTCAAAGGCCAGACACTGCAGGTTCAGGTGAGCTCTTATGTGATCATTGATTTACACCGAGGTATTTACCGTCTAGAGTTACGTCCACGGTGGTTCTGGTTATCTGACAAAGGTGGCTTCCGACCTGCATGACGATAAGATGATAAGGGACAGATGTAGATATGTGCTAGTATAAACTGCTAGTAATATCAGTCTAAATAAAATGCAGCATGTTTAGTATTAAGTTAATAACACGTGATTGAGATCCATACCGAGAGCCAAGTGCATCAACACACTTGTTAGGTTAATTTTTGGTACTGTATTTAGTTTGTGATCTTTAAGCAATTATTGGGGTTAATTTCCAACGTGCAGGAAAAATTCACGCAATAATCACTGAAATGAAATCCGTGATAATTTAAGTGAAAACACGAAACCGGAAAAACCTGTCAACTGACAGGCACTCACAAACGCAAAACCAACTTGAGAAATTGAGATGTAATGCTATGAAGAAATGGGTTCTCACAGCGACATTTGACCTATTGATCTTCAAATAGATGCTGGGTCAGATTCCAGATTCCGAAACGACATGGAATTTTTTTTTTTTTTTACTAACGAAAGAATACGTCTATAATAAGAGTATTAGATAACATTTGAATATTGGTAACGCTTAACCTTACAGTGGTAAAAATAAAACTGCCTAAAGTTTGATTTTGTAAGTATAAATTGACGAATTACTATATCTATATCAAGGTTACTTCAATATAAAATCACAAACAATCCATAGTGTCCAGAAAGAAGTCTTGGTTAAAATTAAAAACAAAAATTCGTAAATTTTAGCGTAAAAAATAGTTAGGCTTTAGATGCATTTCTAATATTGCATAGGTCCAATCCAGAATACACGCTGTTTAAGCGGTTTCTTTCAAACTGCACTCGCAACACCGACTTACACAAATCGATTTCCGATTTCACCCAATCAGAAGGAAATCGGGAAATCTGAAGATAAAGGCGGATACGGCGGGAGGCGATCGAAAGGTCGGTAAATATTTGTTCTCCGATGAAAGCGGCTCTTTTATTACATCGGTAAACTCGGCTTTCCCCTTCAGATACTTGTTATTTACAACACTCGACTCGAGTTTCCATAAATACAGATTGACCAAACAATGTTTAAGTTGTGAAACATCTGGACATTATTGGACCAGTGATGTTTCGGATTTTAAAGAAATTGGTAAATTATTATCAGTATTTAACGCGATTCTGCTAGAAGTCAATATCCACGGAGAATAAAACAGAAACGGTATGGATCATAAACATAAACAAATGACGTCACTGGGCCGATTATTATACTAATAACCAAAACAGCTGATTTGGACGACTTTTACTATAATGACCTACAAAAGTGATTTTTTGTAGATGAAAGTCCCTAACATGGAGACCTCTCCTCACTTAAGGCTCCAAGGAAACAGTGGTTTTAACATGATCACAAGTAGTAGCTGGTCCATCGTACACTATGTACATACCCCTGGCCCTGAATAGCTACAACTATACACCAATTAACTCCACGTGCAAGTACATGTTATTCCCAAAATATTTCTAGGAACTAGCTGGTCTAAGTAGAGCATGGTACTTCGGCCCCGAGGTCCTGGGTTGAAATCCCCTCATTCACAAATGGATTTTTATCCCAATGATAAAACTGCGACCCTCTAGGCTTAACCTGAAGTGATGTGAAACGGTTGCATGATAGAGCGTAGCGTCCTATGATGTGAAGATGGGACAACAAAATGAAAAAGATAATTCACCAGATTATAGAGAACTTAAGGCGAGCGAGCTGGTCTAGTAGTGCGCACGACTTCGGTCCTCAAGGTCCCAGGTTCAAATCCCGCAAATCTCCAATCGATTTTATGTAAAATACCGCAACCGCCTCTAGACCTATCCTAGAACAACGTTGAAAACAAATCCAGACTAGAACCTTCAGGAATAAAAAAATCCATGCATAGCTTCCTACCTCCTTTTCCTGAGTGTAGAAGTGCACAGCGAGATCCAACCTCCGCCGCCGCTGTTCCACACGAGCCGCAAACGAGGTCACGTGACTCTCGAGCTCGTGAGCTACAGAGTAGATCTCGTCAGCGTTACACTCGCCGGTCTGCGCGAGCTCCTCAGCGGCAGTCAGCAGCTTCTCCGCATTCGTGTATGTGTTCTGTAACAATAGAAAATATGTTAAGACCATTACCATTATTACCAATTGCGGGTACAAAACATAGACAAACACAAATGTGGATGCAGGATGGGTGTCAAATGAGGTGACATGCCTTCTATTGGTTTGTCATTGATCAGCTTTGCAATTGGCCAGAACAATTTATATGAATCCGATGATGGTAAAAGGGTCCTATTTAGAGATTTCAAAAGGCTTCTACCAGTTTTTACTCTTACTACTTAGGAGTAAAACAACTCAGCTGCGCAGAGGCTGTGTATCAACAGCGAGAGAAACATCCGCGTCCAGCAGTAAAGAAGTTTTCCCCATTCAACACAAACAAGCAAAGTAACAAAAGTATGAGGCGTACGTCGAAAGTAGTGTATACTTCTTTTAAAACTACTACTAGTTATACAACTTGGTAAAAGTAACAATTCTTAATTTTATTTTCGCGTAGAATATCCTACCAACTTAATTTTCAGCTATGACATAGCGAATAACTATTGCGTTTACAGTACGGATGTTAAAACCTGTGAATTCTCGTAATTAAATCTTCAATTGATCAACAAGAAACTCGATTATTTAGGGAGGTTATCTGGAGAGCATGCTATATCACACATAGAAGTGATCATATAACATCATGATCATGCTTATTCAAAGGTCGATTCCAAGTCACATACAATCTTTTTTAAGTAGGCTACACTTTCATATTGAATTGAACATGTACACCACTCAATTAGCATGTCCCTCGATTCCTGTGACTTGAATATTGAGATGAAAAAAATAATAATCAAACACATTCGATGAATATGGTCAAAACAAGCTTTATTCAAAGAAAAAAAAAACAACCATTTGTTTAAGACAAAATCTTTTAACAACAGCAACTAACAAAACACAAACTACTTCTTGAGCTCAGGCCACTCCTGGAGTAATGAGTCAAAGTTTTCCATGACTTTGCTGATCCTCTCAGCGGTAGTCTGCCTCTGCACCAGCTGAGTGACAGGTGGAATAGCACTGTGTCTGTCCTCCACAACTGTGCTCTGGAGAACCGAAGACCTCCTGCTGGACCTTGAGGATCTGGTCTTGGACGCAGCATCTCCTTGGTCTTCGTCCCCAAAGATCTTAGACTCCGGTCCAAGGTCTATGGATATGGAAGTGTGCTCTTCGGAAGTAGACGGTTTGGCGTCTTCAGACTTCCGTTCACTCTTACGTTTGCCAAACAACCAGTTGATGTATTTACGCATTCTTGAAAGTTTCAAATTAGTTTGCTGAGAATTCGAACAACGAAAATAAACAGAGGGCAGAGGAACTATTCGTTTATTGAATAGTTCTCGAGTAAAATCACAATTACCCGAAGATAGTTCAAATGACTATAGAAGAAACTCTCTATGTATATTTGTAACCGAACCAAAAAGTTTATTCACGTTTATTTAAAGTCTAGGCCTATGAAAAATATGATCACAAAGACCTATTCCATCACAATGATGCAAAGTTTAGTTCAGGTACAATGGCTCAAGAAAGATATCATGAAGGCATCACAAAGATTTACAACCAAATTCTGCAGTTATATTAGTTTGGCTCTTTGAAACACGAAAAACTCACGATCAATGAATATAATGTTCGTGGGAGCGAGTCCAAGACCAAAATTGATGTTTTTCCAACCAAAACACGAGCTGTCCAAGAAAACGCCGCAGTCACCAAGTCAGGAAAACTTACTTTATCACTCTTTCTTCTGAGGATCAGGAGAGTCCAGCTCTAAAGCGTCAAACTTGTCGATAATCCTGCTCAATCTTTCCTCAACGTGATCCCTCGCTAGAAGACCAGACACTGGCGGCAAAATCCTCTCCTCAACGAAGGAACTTCTGATGACGTTGGGCCAATGACGAGTGCTATCCTCAGAGGAAATGCTGATGACGGATGCACCGGCGTCGTCGACTACGTGTCCAGTACCTGATGTCGAGGGTTGAGACGGGTCAAAACGTTTAGAATGTTTAGAACGTTCAGAAGGTGGAGAGTACTCTTTCGATTCTTTGCCGAACCATGAGAATATAGTTTTCAACATTCTAACACAGACCTACCGTTATTTAAACTGACTCGTCTACAGTTTCGTAAAATTATACTAAAAACTAAACCGGTAATAGCACATTAAACTTGGAAACAACACAGCCAGTTTTGTTTGGCAAACCGAACATAAATATGTGGCGAACAATTAAATCATCTGACTGTAACCAACACGTCACGAATACAAGTCTTTATTATTTTCATAGTAATCGACAGACTAATAGGAAAAATTTGTAGCTAAATAAAGAAAACACATTTTGTAGGTTCCGTAAATTACTAAACAATGACATCATTAAGGATGTCTCATAGCAAGTTTTTTTTTCAACAAGCGCAGTAAATGTTAGCAATAATATCAAATTTTTAACAAGTGAATAAATAAAAAATACTTTAAATTGCGATTTGATTACGTCTCATGAATGGGTGGTCTCAATACTAAATTTTTCAACCAATTTTTCAATTTTTTTATGTACTTTTATGTTTATGAATTTGTTAATTTATTTTCAAGTGTCAAGTTAATAGTGCAATACACTTTTAGCAAATGTCCTAAATTTAGTTTCCGGACCAGTAGAATCAGACTAGAGAAAGGGGGTTTTATAAGGTAAAAAGAGGGTTTCCCTTCTTGACGTCCAAAACAGTAAATTTCTATGATGTCTTACTAAACAATTTTCTAATACTAGAAACAAAATTAAGTTTTCATATTAAAGCTTTATTGTACGTTTATCATTAAAAAAATTAAAGCTGTTCTTTAAAATTTTCAAGTAAATGAATTACATTTTGATCGATTTGGGCAAATTCATTGATTTTATCCGAAGCTATTTGTATTACTTACTTTTTTTACCAAAACCCTGATATATTCCCTGTAGCATGGATTTATGAGTAGACCTGTAGCAGAAAACTAAGTAGGTAATCGCTACGTTTGTCTTCTTTAAATAGGGAATAAATCAGACACGTAAAAGGAAATCTAATTTCAATAGCCAAATAGAAATTCAGGTACTTTCCTGTTATCTGGTACCTGCGAAAAAATTCTTTCCTGTTGGTTAGGTTAGGTTAGGTTAGTTTATCAATAACATGAGTATTGTAAGTAAACGAACCTAACCTAACCTAACCTAACCTAACCAAACCTAACCTAAACGGTAGTATGTGCTCCGGACTCTGGATCGACGAAGTTGTACTTGTGGTTAAAGAATTTTTTCGCAAGTACCAGATAACAGGAAAGTACCGAAATTCACTTAGCAGGTTTGTTGCAGCGAGAGTATTTATATTTACAATTTTTCAAAGTTTCATTCGATGGAAACAGAGAATAAATAGGAAGAAGCAGGCTTCCGTGTGATGAAGTTAGGGGTCATCAATTACAAACGCAACTTCATCGTAATATCTAACCATTCGCAACCGTTAGCATTTTAAATGAAATATTCATCTGTAATATGTGGCGAGCAATTCTTACGAAAATGAAAGTGGAATGTACTTGAACAAAATTACAAGTACCGCCAGTAATTAACACAACCAAATATGTCAAATGTAACTCCATGGAGCATATTATCATTAGAAGGATCAGGGGGTTGACATATTATAATTTTTAGGGGAATATTTTAGTAAAAAACAATTAGGCAGATGAAAATTCGTTTGGTTTGCACGTTTTTTATGGTCGAGCTGGCTTCATTTACCCATTTATAATCCCACGTAATAATATTCGAACGTGATGCATATAACTGTAATATCCATCAAACACAATGTTATAAAAAGAGTATTTTCAGTGCAAAAGAACCTGTTCTCTGGTTCTCATGAGTGTTAGCACGTATGTTTTCTGTGGTGTTAGTGAAAAAGTCCTCGTCTGGTGTTGTAGTGAGGACTAAGTCCGGGTTCAAATCCCAAAACTAAAACTAAGTAATATAACAATCACCTAACTATTCAGCTCCACGTAAAGCTTTGAAGGCCCAACTTTATAGAAAAAGAATCAAATCCCTTATAATACCACTTTGTAATGGGGAACTCCTTACAATAAATCCAAAGATATATTCAATGCAGTTGATTAAAGGAAGATATAACTCAAAGAGCACGAAAGAAAGAACGATGCATACTTATCAAATTTAATCTTCAAAATACATCTAGGCATATTGTTATTTCTTCTTGTCTTCTTCATCTAAAGACTCGAGCTTCGCCATGGCTTTGTTAAGTTTCCCCATGGTGTTTTCTCGGTCCGCAATAAGTCCGGCGACTGGTGGAATGATCTTCTTTTCCACGTTCGAACTTCTTATCACACTCGATCTTTTTCTCCCGGTTTCAATGCCGTCTACCGATTTGTCTTCTTGGTTGTTGGAGTTGGTCGTCCCATCGGCAGAAGTGGAAGGCTGCCCGTCTGTTGTGGATTCCCTTCTGGTCTTCCGCCCGAAACATCTTTCAAACAAATTAGGCATTACTTCCTAGTGGCGTTACGAATCTTGCGAATTTAAATTAGCTTTACGAACTGTAAAGGTAATTGTATTTCAAAATTAAACTTTCTTTCGGCTTTAAATACGTTAAAGTTGAACAATTATTCAAAGGCACAACGCTTGTTTTGAAAAGACGTAAACAAACACAAATTACAAAACACAGCTGGTCATTTAAATTAAACGGCATTGAATGCCATATGTTTAGCATTTCAAAACATCAAGTTCATGGATATAAGAACAGAAACTGTATGAATAATAAAGAAAACAGATGATGTCACTGACCCGAGATTAAAATGTTTTTAAACATTACTTATAAAACTGTCAAAACCATATTAATGTTATAGTATACGATTCGGGCCAGTTATGTTATTTGTTTATATTATTTAATGATACATCCATATTTTTTTTTCTAATATTCCTGGCAAACAGTTCCCAACTTGAATAATAATCACGATTCCTAACTTGAAAAACTAAGAAACACAACTTTGACGAGCGTGTCCCCGTTTGTTTCGTGAC